TCAATAAATACATATGAATGTGAAGTCAAAGATAGGGCTTTACCACACCTACATTGCTTTCTGATATTTTTGTGAGTAGAAAGAAGAAAAAAATATCACGGTAACACTTTATATCAGGGAACACACAAAGTGAACATGTCCAAGCACTTGATTGTAATTCATGTACAACAACTTCCTTACTTACCATCAATAAGCAGTAATTAGGAGGTTATTAAGGGAAACTGTTAATAAGTGGAGTAGTTGCAGAATAAGGCATTAATAAGTGATGGATAATGACTAATAAAGAGCCAACATGCCTCTAATATCCATGCTAATAAGCAACTAGTTAATGGTTGATATGTGTTCCCTAATATAAAGTGTTACCAAAATCGCTAAAGCCTCCGTCTTCTCCCTCTCCCTAAGTAATGCAAAGCCTTCTTAAATATGGGGTAACTTAAACCGATTTCATACGGGAAAAAATCGAGGCCAAATCAATAGAAACAATTCCATCGAGCCTCACTAAAGAAACATCTTTATATTCTGTTCTTCTGTGAGGTTTATTAGAGTTTGCTGCCAAAACAAACCATCAAAAAAGAACAAATGTACTGCATACTGTGATAAGTTGCATACTAAAACCCTGTCAAAGACTTTCAGATGGTTTTCCCCCTCAGTGGCTGCATGCTGCAGGCTGAGGCTCTGCCAAACTCTGCGCTGCACAGATGCACATCAATCTTTATGGCACTTTTATTCTTGGAAAGAAAACGATCTACTGAAAAGTGGGAGCCAATGAACTGTAACACACTTGTTTGCTTTTTTTGTCTTAACAGAATGGAGTTGGAAAAATGAACAACCTGTGGTCCTCTACACCACTCAAATGCTAGATTTTTTTTTGGGGGGGGGGTGTGGGTATCTGTTTGTTTCCACATCATTCAGTCTATCCTGGAAGCTGCTGAAGAAACTATGACTTAAAGGGAATGCCTCTTGCAATTTGCAAGAATAACCAACTCACTACAGGAACTCTATTTATGAATATCTTACAATGATAATGTGTTATTACCGTTTGACTGATTTGCAGTCCCTTAGGTATTGTGTTACGTTGTTAACAGTGAATACTTATTTAGAGGGAATGTCTCTGAAAGCTTTATGTCCCCACTGACTCCTGGGCAATATCATGCTTCCAAAGCCTCCAAATTGAGGGAAATGCAGTTGCGGTAGCTGTCTCAGTTTTGTCTGATGGATGGCGTACACTGTCACCTTTGAAAATGCAGCAGTAAGGCACTCAGCTGCGGAGCAACAAATCAGAACGAAGTTGTTCTGAACAGAATATCAGTCCAAAGTCCAACTGTAGAGAAAAAGCAGATTCACGAAAAAATGGCCAGTGCCTGAAAATGAGGTTTTGTAGCTTTCTAAATTTTAAAAGCAAAAGTTGTCTATTCCTAACAAACAAATGCTAATGGAACAAAAACCCACTTATGACAACTGAATAAGTCAGAAATGAATAAGATGGACTGAGTTAATCAGAACAAACCTGTGTGATTGTGCAACATCATACACTTACTGTTAATCAGATCTCAGATAAATATCTATCTATGTTGCCTCCACTTCTATGCATGGAAGCAGGAATGGCTTTAAAATGCACACATTTAATCCACCAACTGAACAATTATTTTACGCAATCAACTGTGTTTCGTGATCAATCTGCATGATGTGATTGTTCACCTCTACCTCTGAAACAGCCTGACCTCGCCCGGGAGAGCTGCTGGTTACACCGAATATTCCACAATTTTGAAGCTGCAAGTCACGTGCATTACTCATCTGCATGTGGATTCTGAAAGCAAATACTTTTTCCCTCTGAAAGGCTTCTTAAACTGGGGGACAATGGTGAGAACCATGTTGAGAGTAAAGTTGAAATGAAACTTTCAATCACTGGGAGACTTTATTGAGTTTTTGGAACATGTAAAATCTTAACAAGCCGACAGGCGGTGCGTGAACTGAGTGTAAACTCACAGAGACAAAACAGAACTTAGGGTGAGAACAGGATCATGAGATTCATGATGTTTATTTTGGTGTCAGCTGCTCCACTGAGAAAACTTTGCAGGGTATTTAACAATTATGAACTAGATTGTTGAAACCTCTAACGATGAGAAAGGCACTGAGGTTCCCATGTGGCCAATAGTGCTAATTCAACAAATGACATTCTCATATAAGTGATGTCTCAGTGTGAACGACTGAGCAACAAGTACTATAGCAGTTTGCAAAGATGTTTCCGAGGTTTGGTGAAGATCTACCCATGCTTTGAAAGCAATACCCTGCTCCGAGCCAGGAGTGTTACAAGGGACCTTGGGGTCCCAAAGCAAAAGGGATCAGGGGGGCTACATCATCTACATCTAACCAAACCAAAGCCAAGAAACAAAATAATATACCAAACCCCCCATTCCAATCTTCAAACAAATCTTTTATTTTCAAAATTATAAACAGGCACATCATACAAATCTCTGAAATTGTGAGGATTTTGGCCCAAAGTTAGTGGCACGAGGCCTCGTATGGGGGTTTGAAATCATGGAATCGATGCAGTCTCCTGCACAAAGCTGATCATAGAATTCAATGAGCTTTTCAAAAAATTGTCATTGCTGTGGACTAACATAATGAGCCATTCACAGGGGCCCCTCTCAGCTCAGGGCCCGATGACAATTGCCTGCTTTGCCTGCTCTTTTGCAATGCCCCTGCTCCCGGCTATGGCAGCTGATGAGATATGCAAGGAAGTGTAGAGATCATGTAACTACTAAAGTGCAGACCATTGACAGGGTATGAAGGTTTTAATCTTTTCATATGATTTTCAACTTTAAAAGGTTTGCAAGAGACTGAAAAACTGAATGGAGAAAGAGGAAACATGATTTTTTTTGTCTGCCGTATGGATCAAACTCCAAAAACCACAGAATCCAACACTTCCAACAATGCAACTCCATAATCTTTTCATCAGACCCCCCCTGTCTGGTAAATGTCAGTACAATATTGTTCAGACTTTACTCCTCCAGGTTTTAATAAAGGCTTTTTTCAGACCTGACAAACCTGTGAGTCAAGAGAAAAGTGTTTTCTGAGAATATGACACTTTTTCTTACAAGATGCCTTCTGTTGTTCCTTGCTGATCAATTCAAATATTCAGCAGGGGGACAGAAGTGAACAAGCTGTCCTCTCTGTACCAATTACCATAATTTATACTTGGTGTGCATGTGAGCCACAGTTACACTGAAGCTGCACACAACTATACTGCATGTTGCTCAGTCTGAATGAGAACACCTTAACTTAATTACATCAAAATGTAATATTTAGTGTAATGACGACTGAAGAGAAAATCCTGGGGCAGCAGAGGAGACAGGAGCAAACCTATGTTTCTAAATCTGGTTCAATGTAATATTGCTGCTTTAAGACAGAGACTGAGAGTGTGCTGCAGGATGCTTGGCTGTAGTCACTTATTCTGCTCTGTGCATGTAAGTGTGTGTGTGTGTGTGTGTGTGTGTGTGTGTGTGTGTGTGTGTGTATGCAGAGGCAGGCAGGCAAGTAGCTGCAGAGTCAGACACCCCTGTTGGCTGCATTTTTAAAAGTTCATTGCACAATCAGCTTGTAATTGGCAGAGCTAATGAAAGAGCAGTGCAACATAGCTCAAGCGTCATATTTAGAGGTCATGCAGTTTATAGCACCATGTGTAATGTATAATGGCAAAGATCAGCAGGAATCTTAACAAAGATAATCACATTAGCATTCAAGACCTATTGTGCCTCCGAGATGACAGCTTGGTGACTAATAACTCCTCAGACTAATCCAATTTATCACTGCTCCACTCTTTGGAGATCAAATCAGATTACAGATGAACAGGTAGGATTCTGACTGAGCTCTGACACAACATCATTCTAAAGGTGATGCTGCCATTTTGGGCATTATATCAAATCTCAGGGAAAGATCTAGGAGAAAAGAAGTGCATTACAGCTGCACTAATCGGTGCATTTGTACTGCGAAATATGTCACTCACAGTGCTGAGATTCTTGTAACTCACTGTTTGGCCTTTTGGCCTCCAAACTCTCTACTTCCAGCAGCAGCAAGCAGCTGTTCTCCGTGAAAAACAGAGAGCGAGAACCCACTGTTCACTACCTGCTCCGCAGCATACAGCACACAGTGTGTTAGAGTTAGACGGTGTCTGGTGAATATAGTGGAAAGAGAAACATTTTTCTCAGGAGTTGGTAGAGACCAAAAACTGAGCTGGAAGAAAGTGAGTGTGGGACTAATCAGATCATCGGGTGGACACATATTTTCATCAGCAGGTGGTGGTGCTCATTCTACACATAGATGGGTTAATTACACTAGCACTGAGGCACATCAAATCAATACAGATAAACAGGAAGGTATCACACACAGTGTTAATGCGGTCTTCCTCATAACATTAGACACCAAATACCAAGCATAAGTCAGCAGTAATATGTGGGAGATGTGCCCTTTTCACCTCAAGATTAACAGTTGAACAAATCTGACTAAAATCTAATTAGCAAGAATTAACTGTTGCAGATTTTGTGTTTCCTTATCAATAAATAATGTAGGGTGGTAATCAAATATTGTCATTATCAGATAATCTGTCATGTGACTTACTGATCTGCTGTTTTATTGATTGAGTAATTATTCTTAACACGATCAAAAGATCTTGGAAATCAATCCCATCACAAGCCTGTGGAGCCCAAGGTGACGTGTCTAACTGTCTGATCTGTCCGATTTTCATCTTACAGTCACATGAGAGAGTCAGCAGAGCTCCCGCTGGAGAGGCTGCAGCAGGGGATGCTGATAAATGACCCGGATCATTCCCACCACTGGACATCTATCGGTAACCAGATGAATGAACTAATGTGTCAGTCACTGTGATAATGTAATGCATGGAAAAGCGGACTGGTCTCGTGGTTGCTGTTTGGAAATCCTCATCTAGACATGCCTGATCGTCGGCTGACCACCTGCAGGTCCGCGGGTCCAGGTGCACTCACCAGCAGCGTGGGCAGCCCGGCCACCACGGCGTAGAGCAGCACGGGCGGGACGGCGCTGCTGTCCTCCGGTCCCAGGTACGGCTTGGTGTAGGTGGTGTCGTAGCAGAAGAAGCCCTGCACGTGCACGCTGAAGGTGTCGGTGTACTCGAAGTAGTAGGCCAGCATGACGGTCCCGGCCATGATCACCAGCTGGAAGTACAGCATGATGCAGACGAAGAGCGAGAGACATTTAATTAGAACAACGGCTTTTTTCTTCCTCCCCGTCCGTCTCTCTCCTACCCGGCCTCCTCCTCCTCCCCCCCGGTACCGACTCCCGCTGACCGCCTCATGACGGTCTCGGCTGCACGCGAGGAGCCGCTCTGTGAACACGGCGGAGGCTCGCTCGCTCTGGATCCTGGATCCTACTGCTGTGCTGACACCCAAGACTGTGTGCGTGTGTGTGTAAGAGAGAGAGAGGTGTGTGTGTGTGTAAGAGAGAGAGAAAGAGAGGTGTGTGTGTGTGTGTAAGAGAGAGAGAGGTGTGTGTGTGTGTAAGAGAGAGAGAAAGAGAGGTGTGTGTGTGTGTGTAAGAGAGAGAGAGAGAGGTGTGTGTGTAAGCGAGAGATAGAAGGAAGGGGAGGGTAGAGAGAGGTGTGTGCCTGTGTAAGAGAGAGAGAGAAGTGTGTGTGTGTGTGTGTGTAAGAGAGAGATAGAAGGGAGGGGAGAGAGAGATGTGTGTGTGTGTGTGTGTGTGTGTGTGTGTGTGTGCGCGCGTGCGTGCGTGCGTGCGAGAGAGAGAAGGAAGGGGAGAGAGGGGGAGGAAAAGGAAGGGTATAAGAGAGATACTCTACACTCTAAATTTAGCCCACATTTAATCACTGAATAAAATAAAATGAATGAGATGAGCAGAAGCTGCATGAACCGATGAGGACTGAAGTAAAAAACCTAAGTGAAGTATAGTTCTCTCTGTGTAATGTTGCACGTTCATGCTTTTAAGCAATGATGTTCATAAGAGCATAAAAAAATCATCATACATTATGACCGTTGTAACCGTAAATGCAAGTTTGTATTTTTTCACCATTAACTTTTAAATGTGTGTACATCCAGTAATTATCTTTATGTGTAAGTTTTCATTCCTGCACAGGATTTAAACTGCATACTTGCACAGATAAGAATGCATGTACTACACCGTTACTGCTTGTAATTTTAGCTCATGGACTGAAGCCTCCCTGTATATTAATCAGTACATGTGGTCATGTGCATTCATTGAACTGGGTCAACACAAACTACTCTATATGACTCAGTGTGGGTCTCCAGTCATCCAGAACTGGGGACAGAATCACAGGGTTTGTTTATTCCGCTCTCATTTCAGGTGCTGTGTGCAACATTGCATGTTCATTTCATACACAACACCATGCTAGGATCATTGTGTAACTAAGGAACCATCTCATTGATAATTCTCCCATCATCCCCTGTAACATCCACTCAAATGAATGTTAATTATTTTATCTTGTTTCACAGCAGTGTTGCAAACCTGCTGTTTCCACTCCATAATTCTGTCAAAGCACTTCGCACATGTATCCTTCTTGCCAAGCTAGAATGGTTGTGTTGTGTTCATTACCCACCACTGGGTCTATTTATTTTTATTTTATTTATTTTTCTTGTTTTGCTGCAGTGACCCCATTTCCCCAAATGGATCATTGAAGCCTCATCTTATTTTATACTCTACGCACTCTGCGTCTTTTTCTTCCACCGGAAACACGTTATTCTGCTCTACTGGCACGTTAAAATCCATAAATGAAGGTGGAGGAGACAGAGGGACAGATGGACATGGACAAACAGAGGTGAGGATGCAGAGATGCGTGGCGTCAGGTGGGTACTCACTGACAGCACTGAGTAATGGCTGCCATTAATGTGTCATTCCATCATTACTCCCCATTTTATGACTAACTAGGCCAAATCTATATACTCCTAGCCTCATGCTCGAAGATGCCAGAGAGATGTAATGATGCATTTTTCCCTACATCATAGTATCATTAAATATAGTTAATTACATCATGCATACATAAAGAATCTGCTGTTATTAGACTGACAACTGTCTAATAAACTATAAATCCTTGTCATCATGACTTTACGAGGAAACAGTGCCTGATTGTTTTATTGAGAGGATCGAGAGGAAAGAGATGACAAATGAAGCTAAGACTTGTCTTCTAAGTCAGTTATTCTGTTTTCATCCACTTTTAAGATGACAAACTTTGACATGTTCTTCATCTCCTGTCATTTCAGGACTGTGATCACTGCGGTTACCACCTCAACTACTTTACTGCCTCATCTCAGGGTGCCTGTTAATCTCCCATCAAACACTCCAAGCAGAAACCCTTTATGATACCTCCAAACTTCATGCTCTATTCATTATCTAGGCCCTGGGGAGCCTGGACACTCAATTGGAAAAAACAAATTCATAGTTCTAACTCCTACTCGGATATAAGCCCCAAAGTCTAATCATCCTGTTCACAATGAATTCCACTTTAATCTAATTTACATATTCCCATTTGTGTCTCTATTTCAGACATGCAATTTAACTCCTACCAGCCCCCAAATGAGCCCACGTGAGAATAGACAAGGACGTTTGTAACATGTGACTGATGCAAAACTGAAGAAAAAAAAAATATCCCAGGCACTGGTGTTGATGTGATCAGCTGCGACAATCAATCATTTTATCTTGTGTGGTGTGTCATAATACACAACAACATCTGCTGCATCTGGGACAACTCACACTGTCCTAACAGAAGACTTTGATATTGTTTAACTTTCTAGGACAGGCTGACCAATAGGAGCACAGCAGACAGTGTTCTGCTGGAAGAGACAGAACTGCCCAGACCATTTTAATAGATAAACTATCGTGTAGTGAAGCCAGGGATTTGGATGTTTGTATTTGCTTCTTAGTACTAAACACAAAATACAGCTGAGGCTGGAATGAAATTGGTTAGTTTTTAAAGCATAAACCAAAGTATGGGACAAATTAACATTTGAACGTGGTGATGGTGCCAGATGAAATGTCAGGGGATCATCACAGGGGTTGTTATTCATCCTGAGGGGAACATTTAAGTCTGAAACACATTTTATCATATTCCATTCAATAGGTGTAGACTCAAGACATTGGTCACCCTGCTATGGTTGAGGACCTCAAGAACAGAGACATGTTGATGTGTCACCAGGAAAAATAATACATGCATTAAACTACCACGCAGAGTGAATAAAGCAGCATATGCCTTGACACCCATTATTATCACAGAGGAGATGTATGGAGTGTGAATAATACCACTGCTGTTAACAGACCAAATACATTTTTTGGTAGGTACAGTATTTTAATACTGGCTGAGGAGCTGTAGCTTCTCAGGGACTATCAACGCCAAGGGGAAAGTTGATATAATCAAATGAATTTCAGATTTGCTGTTGCTGAACAGAGCTTTATATTCAGTTGCAGCAGTTTGAGGAATGTTAGCTACGAACAGACATTTACAGCCAGTGACACCTGTGACATTTCACACATCAGCCTGATGTTAATCATGCTGCACATTCAACACAGCTCCAGGACAGCTCACTGCTTTCCAAGACATTCAGGTTCAATTTGTGATTTTCAACCCTGCAATCTTCTAAAAGCTGCAGGATTTCGTGGCTGTGGGAGAGTGCTGACATTTATGTTTTCACACAGCCAACAATACATAGGAACCCAGTACTTAATCAAGAACATCATACTAATTCTGATAGTTTCCTCCTTGTTCTCTAAGAACAACTTCAGTCGGTTGGACCCCCTTTTGCTTTCAGAACTGCCTTAATTCTTCATAGCATAGATTCAACAAGGTGTTGTTTACATTCCTCAGAGATTTTGGTCCATATTGACATGATAGCATCACGCAGTTGCTTCAGATTTGTCGGCTGCACATCCATGATGCAAATCTCCCATTCCACCACATCCCAAAGGTGCTCTATTGGATTGAGATCTGGTGACTGTGGAAGCCATTAGAGTACAGTGAACTCATTGTCATGTTCAAGAAACCAGTTTGAGGTGATGTGAGCTTTGTGACAGGGTGCATTATCCTGCTGGAGCTAGCAATCAGAAGATGGGCACACTGTGGTCATAAGTAAATAAATAAATGGTAAATGGTTGTATTTATATAGTGGATGGACATTGTCAGCAACAATACTCTGTGGCGCCGTGGCGTTTAAACGATGCTCAATTGGTACTAAGGGGCCCAAAGTGTGCCAAGAAAATATCCCCCACACCATTTCACCACCACCACCAGCCTGAACCGTTGATACAAGGCAGGATGGATCCATGATTTCATGTTGTTTACGCCGAATTCTGACCCTACCATCTGAATGTTGCAGCTGAAATCGAGACTCATCAGACCAGGCAACATTTTTCCAATCTTCTATTGTCCAATTCTGGTGAGCCTGTGTGAATTGTAGCCTCAGTTTCCAGTTCTTAGCTGACAGGAGTGGCACCCGGTGTGGTCTTCTGCTGCTGTAGCCCATCTGCTTCAAGGTTCAACGTGTTGTGCGTTCAGAGATGGTATTCTGCATACCTTGGTTGTAACGAGTGGTTATTTGAGTTACTGTTGCCTTTCTATCATCTCAAACCACTCTGCCCATTCTACTCTGACCTCTGACATCAACCATGCATTTTCATCCACACAACTGCCGCTCACTGGATATTGTCTCTTTTTTGGACCATTCTCTGTAAACCCTAGAGATGGTTGTGCATGAAAATCCCAGTAGATCAGCAGTTTTTTCAAAAAGTCACTTAAATCCCCTTTCTTCCCCATTCTGATGCTGGGTTTGAACTTCAGCAAGTCGTCTTCACCACGTCTAGATGCCTAAATGCATTGAGTTTCTGGCATGTGATTGGCTGATTAGCTATTTGTGTTAACAAGCAATTGAACAGGTGTGCCTATAGAAACTGTAGATTTTGGGGCCAGAGGCCTTCTGGTTTCCGTTTCAAGTTTGACAAACCATCTGAGCAGGCTTTGGGTGCCTGCAGATAAACAGTTTGGATGGGGGCAAAGGAGCTGGAACTCACTGAATGAAATGCTTTGGCCATCAGCTTTTTAAAATATCTGCATTCATATACAGAAAGCATGGACATAAATACCTGAAAATATTAGCACTGTTTGCTTTGTGTGGTGAAACATTCAACGTAAAAGAAA